ATGTGCGTAACATTACTAAAAAGCGACAAACTCCGCAACGAGTAGGCCGAGAACTTTTGTCATTCCTCCGAAGAACAATTTTGCTTCTCGCTGACCGTTCTCCTGCGACATCTTTGATGGTTTGTTGCGTCAAATGCACGCCAGCATACCGATCACGTCTTAACTGAATGACTGCATACCGCCCACGCACTCGGGAAGGAATGCGCTCGTCATACCAGCCACCCGACACACAACCGACAGGGGCATTCCCAAAACAGGTTTGGTGGGTAATGAAAAACAGTGAACAGTGGATCTGTCGTGCAGCTGGGCTCGCAGACAGTGCTTTATCAGGTCTGTGTGTCATAGTTAGCACTCCTGTTCTGCTGAACCCGTGTGCAGCAGGAAACAGCTTTGGGGATTTGTGTATATGCCGCATACTAGAGAGAGGCGCAAAGATGGTGGGAATTCGAGCATCAGGAAATACGGTACGGACATAAGACCCCCCCCCTACCCTGTTATATAGGAGCCTTACCAAAAATTGCAGGACCAATTTTATCGAGTCATGCCCTTAATCGAAACCTTTATTCTAAACTTAACGCCAACCTTAGCCCAAACCCTAGCCATAATAATGATCATTTTCCTGGAACTTAGCGTATGGGAATGAAATAGGGGAGGCTCCTATTTCCGTGTCCTGCAGATCACGACTTAACCGTTGTCTAACCACCTAGGGAAGCTATGGTGTTCCTTTCGACGCAAAATCAGAGACGCCAGCAGGAATACTAGCTGCTCTTAGCACTTTGAGTTCTTAAAGCTTCAACATTGCACCATTACGTTCACCATGGAAGGGCTGGGCATATCAAAATCCCGAAGGCTCACGGCTGGGTGAACTCTGTTTGCAAGTGAATGATGGATGTTGGCTTACTGGAAAAGTAAGGAAACGCTAGAAGTGTTCACGCGTAGCGATAGTGGACCAGACAGGCCAGCGGAGAAATCGTCATCCGCACGGCAGTCGGTGACTCGGTTCAGATTTGATAATGCCTGTTATAAAGGCAACAAACATCGAAGTAATTTTGAAAATAAAACAGCAACGCTGGCTGAAAAAGGTCTCACGAAAAATCCAAAACAAATGGAAACGTATGAAGCAGGGAATAAACTCAAAAGATTTACTTCAATCCATCGACAAATTCTTGAAAGGGAGTTTTGCCACCAGCACAGGTACCTTCATCTACAGGCAGTGATTAGAAGAAAAGTAGACTACCACACGATCCATCCCAGTGGAAAAAGAAGAAAGTGCCGTTGCATCCACCGTGGGAAACGGTTTCAAATATTTCAATCAAGGAGAGAACCAACAACTCCGCACTATCAAAGTCTGACACACTAGCTCATAAGAGAAGAGAATGCAACTAACCTGTCGGAATAGGCATACCCACCCGCCTTCGACATAAGACTTCGCGCAGAATGGCAGCCTGGACAGCGGCAATAACTGCACAGGGACCGCTGCTTTCTTGGCACAGGGCTGTCGGTTCTAGGCTGCTGAAGCGAAAACCTAATGACAGTTAGCGCACCATCTGTTGTGGTTTACCTTGACACCATCTGGCAAAGATTTCTTCACGGGGCGCTTCCGTTCCCCAAACAAGAGAATTTATGTGCTGGACCAAGACGGGAGCTGAAACTTCCATTAGAACTCCGTAGCAGGGCGTCTCACAAAGGCTTTTCTGATTCCTTCGGTCTACTATGAACGAAAAAAGACTAAATTAACTTCGGGCAACATGTGAAAATGATATGCAATAATACCCCTCATGCAACAGAAAGAGGTATTTAGCATGATAAATAGATAACCTTCAAGGGAGCGCAAATCCATACGCTTTTGCTAATCATAGCGCCATGGGAACACCTACATCGTCTGCAATAATAATACCAGGACAGGTTTGTCTCATGGAGGAACCTAATGTGCCTCCATCGTCGTTGTCTACGTTCTCCCAAATGAACAACTATGACGATGTGAAAAAGGGGTTCCACAGAGACCTTCTTAATCTGTCGATAATGCTGAATGCGGTCCAGTTGTTTATCCTTGGTGAACTTAATATCCGCGTCGACACAGATCATGCTGACTGGGAGTGCTGAGACCCCCAGGGAATCGGCGCCTGCAACACAGTGGCTTACTTTTTCTGTGAACCTACACAACGCCATCTCCGTTCAACCAGCATCTTCCGACGCGCGAGAACGCGACTAGAGTACACCATAATTTACTGACTAGCTGCATTCTTGTCCGTTGCTAAGACGGACACGACAGTGTTGGCGACGGCTGGACGGATCCTAGTCTAATCATCACCAAGATGAGGCTCCGATTCCAACCTCGCAGGAGACCAGGAGTGGACAAAAACTATATAAGTTGCATACTTTCCTGCTGAATTGGTCTACTCCCCTGTTAGATTGTAACAATAAATTGACCCACTGCGAAAAATAAATGTAAGCTCCTATAGACACAATGACGCCGATAGCGGAAAGTAATTCATATCACCTCCATAACTGTTTCGGCCGAGGATGCAACTAACATAATGGCTGGTTCGACAACGACTAAGAAATCTACACACTGAGAAGAGTAAATACCCACAACCTACATAAATCGTGGGAGATGCAAGACGCTTATATAGCCGACAGTTCAA